AATGCTAAATTATCATCATACTAAATCTGTGGTGTGTAGGGGTTACACATAAGTTTATCTTTTCCCATACTAGTCTACCTCTCTGGAATTTATGTTGTTTTCAAACTTAATTTACCTTACTTCAAAAGATTTCATGATTCTATACTACTCAGCAGAGAAAAACAATGACATCATGAGGTTTGCAGGCAAATGGATGGATCCAGAAAAAATCATCCTGAGTGAGGTAACCCAGACTCAGAAAGACAAATAGGGTATGTACTCACTCATAGGAGGATGCTAGATGTGGAACAAGGATGACTGGACTGCTACTCACATCACCAGTGAGGCTACCTGGAAAACGGGACCCCAAGAAAGACACGGGGATCACCCAATGACGGAGAAATGGATGATATCTACATGAACAGCCTGGACATGAGTGGGAGTAATGAATGGCGAGGGTCAAGGGAAAGAGTGCAGGAAATCCCACCTGGATCAAGAACAGAGAGGGAGAACAAGCAATAGGAGACCATAGTAAATAAAGACCACATGAGAAAAGGAAGAAACAAAGTGCTTAAGAGGCCCACAGAAATCCACAAAGATACCCCCACAAAAGACTGCTGGCAATGGCCAAGAGACAGCCGGGACTGACCTACTCTGGTGATGGGATGGCCAAACACACTAATAGTTGTGCCAGAAACCCCATCCAAGGACTGAGGAATCTGGATGCAGACATCCACTACTAGGCAGGCCTCAGGTGGAGCGCTGGGAGTCTAATTAGCGAGAAAGAGAAGGGTTTATATGAGCGAGAATTGTTGAAACCAAGGTTGGATAAAGCACAGGGACAAATAGCCAAGTGAATGGAAACACATGAACTATGAACCAAAGGCTGAGGGGCCCCCAACTGGATCAGGCCCTCTGAATAGGTGAGACAGTCGACTGGCTTGATCTGTTTGGGAGGCATCTAGGCAGTGGTACCAGGTCCTGGGCTTGCTGCATGAGATAGCTATTTGAAACCCGGGACTTGTACAGGGACGCTTGGCTCAATCTAAGAGGAGGGGACTGGACCTGCCTGGACTGAGTCTATCATGTCGATCTCAGTCCTCGAGGGTGGCCTTGATCTGGAGGTGGTGGGAATGGGAGGTGGGCTGGGGGGAAGGGGAGGGGAGCAGGAAGGGGGAGAACAAGGGAATCTGTGGCTGTTATGTAGAACTGAATAGTATTGTAAAATAAAATTAAATTTGAAAAAAAAGATTTCATGATTCTAGACAATAGAGTTGGATATATTCTACAAAATTCCATGGATAAGGAAAGGACTTTCAAATGCAAATTCACAGATGACACCAAGGCTTGTGTCTTTGACTTTGTGCAGGCGGAAATCTCAGCTATCTGTATTCTACATTGTAGCATTGTAGCATTCACTCACAGTGACTAGCCAATCAAAGAGTGCTGAAAGAGTGCAGCCATCAGGAAGCTCAGAAATCATTTGAGTCAAGAATCTGTTGATATTAAAAATAATGACCCAAAGCTTGTGGGAATAACCAAGCAATATCTGATTTGAGTTAAGGCCCACTCCATGAGATGGAACCCATGCCTAACATGCTTGTGTAGGCAAAAACCTGTGACTAGATAGGCCATGGGCCGAGGGAAAAACCAAATACATTTCTTCTGCTAATGGAATATAGCAATTAAATGATTTCTAATGACATTCTGCTATACCCATAGATGTGTATCTTGGTCAGCCCTCACCAGAGAAGCTTCTTTGTACTGTATATGGGAAGTAACACAGAGACTCACAACAGGAGACTGTGCAGAGAGTAAGACTTGGAAGTACGCAGTCCTAAATGGGATGTCTTCAGAAAAACCCGTCCCCTCAAAGTTCAGGGACCTACGTAGAAAAGGAGACAGAAAGACTGCAAAAGCCAGCAGTGGTGGATGATTTCAAGGAAACAGTGTCTTCCACACACAACAGAACTAGTAAACATATGGGCTCAACGACTCATATATGGGCTTCTGAGAGCACACAAGTCCTGCACAGGTTCAAAAACAAAAATCTCAGCAATGAGAAGGGAATGTGGACACAAAGTCCCACCCCTTACCAAGAAACCATTTGCAATTGACACCTATTGGGAAAGGGGAAAACCAGTTTTCTCCAACGGAGTGTCACTGGGTATATCAAGCACACTCCAGGACAGACTCCATGTACAGGAGTAGTTGGCCAACACAAAACAGATTTCATACTGGGTGAAGTTTTTGTTGTTGTTTTGATTTGGGGGTGTTTTGTTTTTGGTGTGATTTTTGTTTTGTGGTTTTTGTTTTCTATTTTTAGTTTGTTTTGATTGTTTTCTTTTCTTTCCATTTTTGAGAAAGAGGGGGAAGAATATGAAATCAGGTGGATAGGGAGGTATGGAGGATCTATGAAGACTTTGAAGGAAAAAAATTGATCAAAGTATATTATATGGGAACAGTTAATAAAAGATTATTTTTTTAAAGAAAGAAATGCTCAAAATTTAAAATCTCTTCAACCAGATTATAAATGCTGTAGAGACAAATGTTACAGTTTAGATCTCAAATGTGCCCTTAAAGTCCATGTCCTACATGAAGTGGTCTCCAGTGCCCCAGTGTTCACAGGTAATTGGATAATGCCAGCATTAACTCATCCATGATAGATTCATAGCTAAGCGAACTGTTAGGAACTTCTGCATACATCTTTGCAAAGGTCCCTGAACTACTGGACACTGTAGAAATGTGCCTTCATTGGAAGAAGTAGGTCACTGGAGGAGTACACTTGAAGGGGTTATCCTGTCCTTCCCCCTCACTCCCCTCTCTCTCTCTTTCTATCCTTCTCAATTCTCTCTCTCCTCCTGTCCTCCCTTTCTGCATTCCTGCTCCTTAACTCTGTCTTTATCTTCCTCCCTGTCTTAGTTAGGGCTTTATTGCTGTGAAGAGACACCATGACCACAGCAACTCTTATAAAGGAAAACATTTATTTAGGGTTGGCTTACAGTTTCAGAGGTTTAGTCTATTATTATCATGGCGAGAAGAATGGCAGTATGCAGGCAGACATGGTGCTGGAGAAGGAGCTGAGAGTTCTACATCTGGATCTGTAGACAGCAGGAAGAGAAAGCCACTGACCCTGGATTGAGCATATACGAGACCTCAAAGCCTACCTCCACAGTGACACACTTCCTCCAACAAGGTCACACCTGTGCCAATAAGGCATACCTCCTAGTAGTGCCACTCCCTATGGGCCAACTATTCAAAGACATGAGTTTATGGGGGCCATAGCTATTCAAACCACCACACTCCCTTTCATGTTTCTTCTTCTCCTCTCTCCCCTGCCTCCACTCCCTCCCTCCTTCCCTCCCTCCTTTCCTATCTCCATACTGGTTACCACAATGCTACACCATATACTTTTGCCACATGATGGATGTTCAGCCTCATCACAGACAGAAACAGCAAAGCAAGTGACCATGGACTGACTGGCACCTCCACAATCTTAAGACAACATAAATCTTTCTTACTGTTAGTTGATCTTTGCAAATATTTTGTCCCAAGAATGGAAAGCTGGTTAACAAAGCAGAAACCATAGCTATCCATCTTATCTGTCTGACAAATGTTCAGACAGCTGTAGGGATGGATACAGTCCTAACTTCTTGAAGTTACATTATGATGGGAAGAAAATTAACAAATCATTATTCGTAAGAGAGGGAGATACTTGATTCTGAGAACTCAAATAGAGGACTCCAAGGGACAGGGTGGTCTCTTTGAGTAGGATATCAAGAAATACTTCCAGTCATCTACATAAGTCAGGAATATATGAGCCAGCATGTGCCTTTGCAAGGAAGAGCCTTACCAGCAAGTGTATGGTTGAGGCCAAGTCCCCAAAGCAGGAACAGCATTGGGGCATGAGAAGAGCAAAAGTATCTTCCATGTGACTAACAACATAAAGGAGCTACTGGAGACATGGGAGGGCAGATTATGGAAGGTCTTATCCATCACAGCAGGAAGTTTGTCTCCTTTCTAAGCATAGTAAAGAGCCATCAGGGTTTTTGAAGAAGGAGTGTGTTCTAATACAGCTTTTGCGAAACTCGTTCTGGGATCTAGAGGGATGTCTCCATGGTTGAGAGTGCTCACTGCTCTTTCAGAGGACTGGAGTTTGGTTCCAAGTAGCCATTAGGGAGTTCAAAACCATTTGTAACTCTAACTTCAGGGTATCCAACACTCACTTCTGGCTTCCACAGGTACACACACACACACACACACACACACATACATATATGCACACACATGCATATATACATACACACTCTTTTAAAAAGTTAACTCTTTCTGGCTGCTTTAGGGTAGGGGGTTAGTAAACAGAAAAATAGCAGTAGGAGGCCATGACTAAGATGGTGAGCATACTAGATAGGATGGTCCCCTTGAGAGGAGAGAAGGACATGGCTGCCAGGATGGAGGTGGATCTGCCAGGATCAGCAATGGGCTAGGCATGAAGTGAGTGAGAACCAAGGCTGACTGGCATAGAGTTTATTCATAGGTGAGTTCTCAGGGCCTTGCTTGGTCCTGACCCAATCAGCACCTGGCAATTGTGAGTTAGCTGATCCAGAAATACAAGGATAAATGAGTAGGGTGCTCCTGGCAAGCATGGTTGGCAGAAAAAAGTAGAAAACATGCCACCCATTTCCTGAATACTAGCTAGACATACTCTAGGGGACATTAGTGGAGAGGACAAGATATTAGGCAGGCAACGTACAGCAACAGTGTGAGCCAAAGAGACTTGAGTTTAAGACCTAGTTCTGGTATTAGCTCTCTGGGCATTCTTGTATTATTTTGTGAGCCTGTATAAGCCTTAGTTTCTCTACCTATAAAATGGAGTTAATTATACCAATTTATACACCTCCCTCTGCTTGCTGTGCTCTAGCTGTGTAATCATGGGCAAGCCAGGTGAGAATAATTCTGAGCCTCAATTTCTTGTCCCATATAATGGAACCACTTGAAACCAAACAAATCACTGTGCTTACCTAGAGCCACAAGTCCATTTTCAGAGTCCTAAGTGTCCACCATCTGAGTGCCAAGCTCACACATGTGCATGGCCATGTTCCATCGATGTCTATAAAAAAATGAAGAAAAATGACTTAAAGATACCAGCAAAAAGAGACTGGAGATGCCCAGATGGTCTTTCTACACAGGCAGTATGGGGGGAAGCGCTGCATTATGGGTGCTGTGGTCCTAATTGAGGATGACAGCTAGATAAATGTACTTACAGATGCAAAACCCAGAGCTTTCTGGTTTGCACCTGATCCTGTTCTAAATCCCCCACACCTGAGGCCCACTGGGTAGGCCAGCAAGCAGGGAAGAAGGAACGTGAGAGTATTCAGGACCAAAGGACCAGATATAAATCCCAGAGAGACTGCCTTTCTTAAGCCTAGGGAATACCAGTCAATTTATACCTCATCATCTCACCCTGTGGGTCTGGTTGAAGGTTTGACCTGTGCCTCCTCTCCCTTTCCAAAATCTTGTCCTGTTCCCTCTTAACTTGATTTACTCTATTGCTCCAGCTGCTGACTTTGGCAGCTTTTCCAGCTCTCCACCGACCACTGAGCATGGGCACCATCCTGAATGACTTCCACTGGGCCACGAGGCGAGGGTTCCCACTAAAAGCTCCAGAGAGTGCCCGCTCCCATAAATGGCCCTGGAAAAACATGCTGCCCCCAGCCCCACATCTTCTCACTTTCAACACCCAGGCACACTTTGGGGCACAGCATGAAAGGCTGGGCTAAAGGGGACTTGCATTTTTACACTATATTTGAGTTAGCTGTTTTATCTGGATGTGGACCTGAACAGGGAAATGAGGGGGAGAGAGAGGGGCTTTATGAACTCAAAACCAGAATAGACCATTTAAGCTGGGCTGAGTGAAGTCACTGAATGTGCCCTGGAAAATACTTTCAAGGCATTTTATAAATTTTGCACCCAAAAAACTGCCTTGGCCAAATTGAATGAGCAGCTTTCAGATACTCAAATCCTCCTTTTTTCCTGAGATTTTCCTGACAGTGTAGGGACTTGAGAAAACAATAAGAATGTGTCCTGAAAAGCTACATGAACATGTAAAACCTCACATTCTCTACAAATCACACACACACACACACACACACACACACACACACGCACACGCACACGCACACGCACACGCACACGCACATGCACACACACTTCTATCTGCTGAAGTCTTCCCTCAGTAATAAGGTGGGCTTGTTTCCACCCCCCATATGGCTGTCCCTGTCACCATGTCCCTCCTGCCACATAGTTCTTTCCATCTTGGCTAAGCCTGCTGGACCATCCCACAGGAGTAGCCTGGCCTTTGCACTTGCTAGCTACATAATCTTTATCGAACAGTTGAAACTTCCTACACTCAGCCGTCTGTACTATAAAGTACAAGTAATATTTCTCTCTTACAGGTATATGAAAATTAAATATAGAATGAATTTAAAGCTCTTAGGACTGTGGTCAGTAAGTTCTAGGTGTTGGGAGTGAAAGTTGGTGGTGTGTGGTTTTGCCTAGTCATATAAATTCATGGAATTGCAGTTTTTTTTTCAATTGTATCACAAGCTTCTTAACACAAAATATACATGGAGATAGATATAGATTCATATAGTCAACTCTCATATACCTTACTACCTATATACGGGCTCACATATAAGTTCAGATAGTTGGCACTCATTTATCTTACTATCCTTGCCAGAAATGATCCACACACACATGTGCCAGGCACTGTGTTTGTTGTTTTAAATGTTTGTGATGTTCAAGTTCATGTATCCAGCATGGTTAGCCCATTGTACACATCAATCAATAAAACACCAGTCTAGACATTCTGTAAACGTGATTTCCCACTACAGCCAGCTGCTTTTTATGAAAAGGAAGTTATGAAAACTAATACTGACTTTGTTGATTGAAAGGTCTTCAAAGTAGAGCTGAGATTTCCCAGAAACAACTCCAGCAATTGACTGTGGTATCCTCTCCTGCCCACGATGTCCAGCATGTCTTGCCTGATGACCACCCCTGGATTTTTAGGCTTGGCTAGCTAAACTTACAACATTGCAAGTCAATTCTTCTCTTTGCAATGAGTGTCTATCTCTTTCTCTCAGTATTTTTATATGTATATTCCACATAATACATATATAGTATTGACTTATGCATGATACATATGTGATGTATGCAAGCATCTCTGCTGGTTAGGTTTCTAAAATTAGTGGAACCTAATAATGTTATTATGTTATTTTAGCATGGTTATAAAATAGTATACATGTGATGGTTAATATTATGTGACTATTAACTTTATGTAGCTTGATCTCACTGTCATATATGTGGTCACACATTATTCAAGACATGGTAAGAGAGGGTGTTTTTGGAAGAAATTAACATTTAAATCAGTAGACACTAACTCAAGTATCTCCAATGTAGAAGGGCTTCATCTAACCAGTTGAAGGGCTGAATATCACAAAATACTGACCTCAAGAGTTCTCAAATCAATGGGAATTTTGCTGCATTTGGGCTTTTTACTACAACATGAGCTATTTCCTGGGTCTCCAGTATGATAGTCTTTAGTCTTTAACCTCACAATTAGCTTTTTTTTTTCTCAATCTTCAGCTACCTACCTAGCATCTGCCATGAAGAACTTGGATTTTCCAATCTTCAGAGTTGCATGGGGAAATTACTTAAAATAAACATTTTCCCTTCCCATCCTCTTGGTTCTGCTTCCCCGCAGAACCCTAACCTCCACACAGTAGTCAAACAGATTTGCTGTTGAGTGTTGCTAACACAACAGTAGCTCTTTGTATTTTTTACTAGCACGGACATTGATATCAATGATAGTGCAGGATCATTTCACATCAGTCTTTGTATAATTAAATCAGGATTAGGGTTATATGTCCTCACCTGAGCTAATAGCAGATGAAGACCCCAAGGTTCACACCTAGAAATCATTTAATGAATTTGGGAGGGTGGAAAATTTGAGTATAGTGGAGGACATACAAAGTCCAGTTTCCTTGCATCATGGAAAATTGAAGGAGACAGACACTTCAGGGACTTCCTTGCCAACAGAGCATGTTCACAAGTGCAAAGCAAGCCCATTAAAACCGTCTCCACTGGAGCAAACAGAAGTCCGTGAAGCAGGTACACAAGAGAGTCATCACCCATGTGCTGAAGGTCAGGTTTTAAAAGGATAAATGCTCCAGCAGGGAACATCTGAAATGCAGAGGTTACAGAGGGGCCTTTTGGTAGGCAGACAGTGATGACCAGCCTGAAGTATGGCTGTGTTCATTCATTAGCAACAAACAGCCATAGGAGGCCCCTCCTGTGATAACACAGGGAAGGACACTGTTCGCCTTCATTTTCTTAGTTTGCCTTCTTGAGTCAGAAACTTCCCCTTTATGTCAACAAAGTTTATGAGAATATTTAATTTATTATACACCATCTGAAGACCCAAGAGAAAACACCAAGATGAATTTTTCCATGAAATAACTACATCCCAGCTATCAAATTATATTGAATATGCTGTGTATAGACAAATAAATCATATTATGATTAATTATGACCTTGGTCCCTGTCCCTCCTGCATGGAAGGACAGCCGGGAAAGAGCAAGCTGTTGGCTCTGCTTGTGTATTAGGCCTGTGATTTTTTTTTTTTCTTCTCTGATCACAAAATGGGCCTGGCTTCTTCAAACTCAGTTCCTAAGAGTGATTGTTTCAAGAGCATGAGTTGCTCTGCTCCTATTTCTTTATCTGTAGGACATACAATTTTTTGAGGAATCAGTGGTTTTAGATCAAGACTGTCAGCCGCGAAACATTATCTAAGCTTAGTGTTGCAAGACAAAACAAAATGCAAATCAGAAAACAGTAATTAGCTGTATTCTATTCCCTATGAGAAAGGGAGCCAGGCATCTAGAACAGTGATCCATTGTTTGCTGGAAGGCTAATTTAACTGGACATTCTATATTTACCTAGGAACACTCTGGAGTGCTTCTACTTGGTCTCTGCTGGTCTTCCAGTTACTCCATTCTAATAGTTGCCCTACACACTTGCGCACATTCACACACATCCCAAGCTCTTTGTTCTCCTGACTTCTTTCTGCATTTTCAGGTGGACTGCATCTACCATTAGCACCCATAATCACTCATTTCTGTGAGACAGGGAATCTAAGCGATGCTTAGTGCTTTGTTGCAGTAAATACTCAGAGAGCAAAATAGTGTCTTTGTATGCTTCCTTCTTCCTCCAAGTTCAGCTATGTCCTCATGCTCCCCTACCTCAAGGGTCAGACCCAATTCAAAAATGCTTGCAGATGCTGAGGTCCTGTCTGGCTTGGGTGAAAGTCCTTATTTCACTGTGATGGTTATCAGTGACTGTCAATTTGACAGGCTCTAGGCATGACTGTGAGGGAGTATCTAGGTTAGGTTAACTGAGGTCAGACTCAGCACCTTAACTGTGGATCATCCCATGGGCTGGCATCCTGGAGCAGACAAATAGGGAGCTGAGCACTAGCATCCATTACTCTCCACTTCCTGGCTGGAGATGCAATGCCGCGGACTTCTATCACCATGACTTCCCCACCGAGAAGGCCTGTGCCTGCAAACTGAGAGCAAAACTAAGCCCCTTCTCCTTGCTCTGCTTTTGCCGAGTACTCGTCACAGCAATGAGGAAGTACCCAATACAGGGACCAGAATTTGTCATTTCCCTGCATCCAAAGATGTGCTTTGGAAAGGGGTGAGATGATGTTTAAACTGTGAGATGGGGTGACCATGTGTCCCCCAAAACTGAAGAGGAACTATTCAAGACGCCTCCTGAGTCATCTCCCTGCTTTAGCTATTACTCATCTGTAAAATAGCAACTTCAGTCCAGAATCTTCTTGTTTCTGCAGATAGCAAATCAAAGTAGAGTGTGACCGTCCCCCATCCCCCTTGCCTCAAAGCAGCCTTGACTCTCCCCAGCACACAGCCAGCATTCTGTTTCTGCTTCTCTGTTCAGCCATTTCCTACTGACTAGAAGTCTCTTCTTCCAGAAACTTCCCTGGATAGTTATTCTACTTCTCAGCAGAATTTGAAGGTCATGTTGCCCCCC